AAATTTCTGATGCAGCAAATTGCGACTTTCCTGGATTTAGCTTGAATCCGGCTTTACGAGTAGCTTGAAAAATATTGTAAATAACTTTAAGGTGGTAATCAAAATTATCATGTGAAGTTGAAATGTCGTCAATATATGTATTTACATTATGTCCAGCAAGGTGGTCGTATGCACATTTTATCTTCCATCTGGTCGATTGGGTGCGGATCAATCTTGGTGATGGAGTTGATAGTGCGTGAGAAGTCTACAACAACTCGTCTTGGAGTACTTTCATGGAAGGGCTGCTCAACGATAAAAACAGGAGCTGCGTAAGGCGAGTTAGAAAGACGACAAATTCCTTGTTTCAACCATTTTTGAATTTGAGTGTTCATAAATTGGCGATCTGGTTCTGTAAGGCGATATGGTCGACAACGGATAGGCTTGTCATGTTGCAATTCTATTTTGAATTCCACATACGGACATAGTCCAATATTGTCATCGTCAGAATAAAATATGTCTGCAAATTGTCCAATTATAGCATCAAGTTGAGTTTGTTGAAGCTCAGATAGTCCTGCAGATTTTGGAATAAGTTCAATTTGAGGAGGATGTTTACTTGGTTTAACAACGTCGTCTAATGATGGTACTGAGAGTTCACTGGAAGCAATACAATTAATGCTTGGTTTCGATGAATGAATACATTCGTATAGATGGAGAGCAGATGGCGTAGAAATACATAATGAGCCGTTAGAGTCGTAAGTGCATCTAGCTTGTACTTGGTGTAGCCAATCAAATCCCAAAATGAACGAAAATGGAAGTTCGGAGCAGATTGCATGCGAAGAGTTAAAAGTTCATCTTTAAAATTAGACTTATGCGAACCTTACACTTATTAGATGATCGAAACTTAAAGCACTCCCTTAACAGCAAATTGGCGGCCAATAGGGTCACGCAACTTTAGGCACCTCAATTTAGAGACGAACGGCATACGGCTAGCAATGTGGTCAGCACTGTTCACTTGCCTTTTTTATTACCTACACCGAAAAACATTTTGGTGTATATGCACCAAAATATTTATTTATTGACACCATTTTTATTATTGCCATACTTATAGCCAAAGGTGGCAAATATTTAATTTTCAAATATTTACCACCATTTTTGGTATCGAGGTAAAACTAAATTTTTTTTACAATGCATCTTATCACATTTTTTATTTACTTTTTCACTGTTACAGTTTTGTTTATTTATGTGTTCTTTTTTTTGCTTACTTATTGACAACACATATTTTCATGCCCATTGGAATCAATTTATAGCTTTATTGCAAAAGAAATATAATAATAAAATAATAATAATAATATCAAAACAATTTCTCACTAGAGTGGTGTTCTGTAAAGTAAACCTTTCATACATACGTTTAGAAACCTTGCGAAATTGCAGTATGATTATGAACACTTATGAACAAAAATCAATATTAAAGTATAAGGAAAAGTGTCTGTGAACTCTTAACTAATCACTATTGAATCTACAAAAGCACAGGAAGGATTGAAAGCAATAACAAAAACGTTATCTAATGGGACTGGAATTCCTCTTCCTTATTGTTGTTACTTATGTCACTTGCCAATACTAGAAAGCCTGCTTGAAATCAAGCAAACTAAGACAGAGGGTGCATTCGTGTTTTGTCAGTGAAGCAATCTATGACCAAGAATACAATTTCAGTCACACATATGTCACAAACCGTTTTACAGAGAGCACCCAATCATACTCCATTCATTTATCCATAGATCGTAATTTTGATCAGTTCCAGAGAACGAACAATCTCCTACTCAGTACCCCGAGAGGTATTGATTTGTTATGGGAACTTGGAAGATTTTGTGACCCCGACAAATTTAACGTGCACCAGTCATCATTTAATAAGCGGGGATTCTTTATCCGATGGGATTCGAACTCTCGTTCTCATGAACACGAGTCCAACATCCTGCCAACCAGGCTATTCCAGCCTTTCTCTTCCTTTTGATCAGGAATCGCTTTTCAACTTTAAATTTAAATAAACTGGTTTCAGGTTATTTTAATCCCTCTTTTCCAAGATTGACATCCATAATGAGTTTAAAAACGTTTTTGTTCATTCTCAATCAAATAACTTGCGACGTCCGAACGTGCATATTTCTTTTTTACTCCATTTATAGAAGAATACTAAAACTTAGCATGGAGAACAATTTTTACGGAACATCTTGTATGACTAGTAAGAAGTTGTTATGATTTGCTGATTTTTAAATCAAGCTGAAATATTTGAGTGACCTCTTACTTGCTAAACATCTTCGTCCAATCAATAAATATATCACTTACTAATTTGCAATCTACCACTAAGTTTTCCTATTTGTTGAGATTTCAAGCTTTATAAAGCTGCAATTTTTTTCTCCATTTAATCTAAACCTTTTTTTCTATTTTTGAATCCCGCGACATTTTCAATAAAATGTTCAATGCAATTGCTATTGATAACTATATACTCTTATGATAAGTAAGGTATGGGTCACAAATTTTATTGTTTAATTGTTTGATTGAATGTAGAATTTAATGAAACAAAAGCCAGAATCGGCTATACCGCTGCATTCTTCGACGATATTATGTATTCAAATATAACTTAATCAGCGACCTAACTAATTTTAATGTAAAAGACTATAAACAAAAACCTGAAAAAAGAAACAAGGTGGGCTTGTAGTACATTCGAATTGTTGTCTGCTGAAGATAAACTCTCTGAAAGGTATCTCCTATTGTAAAGATATATTTGTAGTTTAATGAAAGAACAACTAATGTCAAAATTTTGTTATCAAAGGGATACATTTCGTTAAAAGCAAGAAGAAAAATGAATTTTCTTCTTATTTCTGTGAAGTATAAAGATAAAGCGAATACTTTTTTTTACAAAACTGATTATATAAAGTATAGCTAAACGTCTACAATAATTTATCTATCTCTTGATTTAAGACTTAAAGGGTTTTCCTTAATAACAGTCCTATTATGTAAATATTTAGAATCGTTGTCAAAAATGAAGCTAGAGAAGTTTATACATTAAAGATCGCAAATTAATATTTAAAAGAGGAAGAAACGAAAATGCTATTAAATCTGTCGAATTAGTTGTGAGAAAGTAGGAGATGAAAAAAAAAAATCAAAATCAGTTTAAATGCCGGATAAAATTGGAAGGTGTTTACAATAATTTTATTTCAACACCTCTGCAACCAGACAAGTTTTGATGTCTTTAGTTGATAGTTTTTTTTGTCCCCTAGTGAAATCTATGTACGATCTCTAATATGTGCATTTTTTACTTCATTTTTTAACAAGAATTCAAAACGTGTACAATAAGAGTGGTCATTATGGAATACCCTGTTTATTTCCCCCATAAGCTAAGACTTTTTGCATTAAAGTCTATATCTCGTATTTTCGTTAGTTAATAACTTCTTTTGTACTAACAAAGATACCGTTTGTGCGCCTAAGTTGAAAATCTGGTTTTCGGTCACCCAGTATATATGCTACCTCTAAACCTCTGAAATTCGGTAATATGCACACTATTTTGCTAATCTACAGATTAATTAGAATAATCCGTTAAATTGCGAAATCAAGAGTTTTTTGCAATTTACATAGGTACTCTGCGTATTAAGGGTTTTCGTATGGTTAAAGTTCAAAAATTCGTTTCTTTCATTCTACGGTGTAGGAAATTTTTCGGAAAAAAGGTTCAATAGCAATTTATTTAACAGTTATTTTACCATAGTCAAACAAAACAGTCTAATATCCATAAATAAGATGGTATGTGAGAAAACCGTTTATTAACTGCTTTCACTTAATACGTTTGAACAACAAGAATTTTATTGCAACATCTAAGCCCACCCAATGAACCCACTTAGTTTTTTACAGCTGAGTATTATAGCCGAGAGGTGTATTCTGTCAATCTCTTGACTGTCTGAACGGGAGTTCGAGTACCAGCGTTGACATTATAAAATTTCCTCTATTTCCCACAACACATGAAGAGTTTTCAGTGTCCAATTTGTGACTTTGGACCACTAGAATACGATATTCTCACTCACGCATAGATGGTAGTAACCGAAAAAGTCCAATATTTTTCATCTTTTATGATAGGTGAAACAGCCAGATAAACTAATTAAACCACATTCCACAGCTCATTTGATGGAACACAACTCAACCACAACCTAACTCCGATGCCCATTTTCTTACGAAAAGCCTATCTCCAATGTCTAGGTACATTTCGTTTTTACTGTTTTGAAACCATTGTTTTTGTAAATGGTTAAAAAGGGTATAGTTATATANACCCTTGACGCTGCATCACAGGCAGGAACGCCTCCAATGGTGTGATCAATGACGAACCTGGACGCAGGAATGTCATGAATATATATATATATGGTTTTTTAACCATATTTGTTGTAAACGGTTTCAAAACCATAAAATGTAAAAAATGTTGTTTATCATAAACTGCAGGGGTAGTTGGATGAGCAGACTGCTACCGGTTATTTTACCGTAATTTTAGATTGAAAATTCTAACAGCGTATCAAAAAATTAGTTTATTGCATTTATTGATTCGATTCTTTAGATATTGAAAATAAATTGACGACATGTTAATTTTCTGAATTGCAATAATATTTTAAAACATTTGATATTCGGTATTATATTTGGTATTAAAGTATATATTTTGATTTATAAAGATATATATTTGGTATTAAAGTGACTGAGGATTGATTCTATTAAAGAATGTGTTAATTGTTTGACCGTAGTAACTTGATTTTTCAGATAGCGAAAAACAAATTAATAACACCATGTTAATTTAAACGTACAGAAACGTTGCTATTATGTCCAGGAGCATATTTTCACTTTAACGAAGGCCTGAGTAGGTAATGAACAGATAATCTAGGTAGTTTGAAGATTACCTAGGTAATTTGATGATGAAATTTTTTTTTGCCATTTAAATGAATCACCATACTTAATCTGCACATTAGTTATATAATCTGCAGAATAATTTATTTCTATGTTTATAGCCTTTTTACTTACGTTTTGTACTTTTTGCATTTTTTGGTGACAGGGTAATCTTCAGCATAGCAGTCCCTTTTTAGTAGATTGAAATACATATTTCCTACTGTGTTAGAAGTCATGCTGTTCACTTTCTCTAAGCAATCATAAAAATCATAATCACACTGGCAGCTTAGTCTGGAAGGGGAAAAATTGTAATTAATTGGAATTTTCGAATGCATAATGTATATTAAGCGACCACATGGTCTACGCTGAAACGACCGTAGGGTAAAGTTTACACTCGGTGTACTACAGAGTAATTTACTCCGAAAAACTCTTAATTATGTCGTTATTAATTATTATTTCTTATTATATGTATTTCTTCTTATTGTTATTATATGTGTCATATTATATGTTAAAGTTGTTATTAGTTACTTATTTCTTAAATATTTTATTAGATATTCTTTGATTTAAGTGCCTGGCAGAAGTAAAGAAGATGATGTTTCCATATTTTAAGAAAAGGGGGTGGGAGAAGAACAGGGAGATTTTTTATCTCAGTTAGTTGTGGAGGAACACCGGTATTTACATATTTTTACGAGGGTTGTCTTGTAAGTAATGGCAGTTTTGTTGTGTACGCTAATATGTGACGCGTGCATCGAAACGAGTGCTTCTGTCGTGTCCCAGCATTTTTTGGGAACAACTGTGCTCAATCTCAGCTGTGTAGACAAACTGTACGGTCAGTTCTGTGTCTTCAAAATGTTCAAATTTAACAAATAGTCCGCCACGCGATGCGTTTTTAGTCTGCAAAAAACCTATCTGCTGCATATATTCACTGCCATATTTGTGAAGCAGCAAAATTCCCTGCCATGCTGACAGGGAATTTTGCTACTCTATGACAATGACTCTCTCCGCAGCTCAGATACTACCTTTATTGGATTATTTTGGTTAGGAAGTCTTGTACACCCCTCCCTGCAGCCCAGATCTTCCGCTGAGTGATTTTCATCTTTTCCGATATTTCAAACATCATTTTGGCTGTAATCACTACAACGATGACGAATATGTTAAAACGGCCGGGACGTCTTGGTTAACGGAGCAGGCGGCAAGTTTGTATGAGGAGGGTATTCTAAATTTAGTAGTAATATTTAGTACTAAATGTAATTGTTAGGTATGATTAGTGTTTAAGCAAATTTGGCAACTATACGCTGAAAAAAAGAGAAACGTATGTAGAATCTGAAAATAAATTTGCTTCTTGAAAATTTTTTGTCGTTTGATTTTTATTTTCAAACAGCCCTTACTTAAAAAGCAACCTTTGTACATTATTCAACAGCATGAACCTGTAAAAACTAATTAAATCTTAAGTTGAGTTACCTTTTAAATGTATATCATTAATTAAGTGCTAAGCTTGACTTTCACAATAGCATGGTGCAATTAATTGATCAAAAGTATTTAATTGATTAAAACTTATAAAAGCAAGTGAAAAATCTTATGTTAAACGAAAATAAAATGCTGTTACATTTTTAATCGAATCGGTTGAAAAAAAAGTTATCGTTTCGGTGAGTAACAGAAACACGGTTTTGGCAAAACATTTCAAATTTTCGGAAGCTTATTTCAGCCATACTACAAAAGCGCTGTATGCATCACAATTCTAAGAATTTTTACTTATGGCATTAAGAAAATGTTTTCACCTACACATACAGTCAAATTATGTAAAAATGGGAAAAACGGATTTTGTGAAAATTTTAGACTGATGCTCTTCATTAACTCCGTCTCGAAGAATGACGAAAGATTTACATAGAACATAAATTTAATTTCAATAATACCAAAATTTCTCCCCCTGCCATATCAGCTCCTCTTAATGGTCTGAATTTTTTCTTCATTCACATCAAAGCCGATCCCCTATTTAACAACATGGGTTTCTCACTATTCCTCCATAGCACTTGGTAATGCATCTTTCCCTGATTTATTTATTTCGGCTATCGAGGTTTTTCAAATTTTGTTTTTCACGCTTATTTTACATTGTTTTCGTTGACAACTTTGCTTTTCTTCACACCAGTATTGTTAAACGAATTCACGTCTGGTGCGTCTTGAGAATGGATACCTATTTTCAAGTGCTCGGAACATGTCGATTTTGTTCCTCTTTATAATTTATTTATAGTTTAACATTTTCTAAGAAAGAAAATTCGGGAAACAATATTGACAAAATTGATATTACGTTTACTTTTAAATTTAATGCATATTTTCTTCTTTTTACTACCATTTTAGATTTAAAAAAAATAGCAACTGAATTTTGTATAATTTCTTTTATTCAAAACATATAAGGGTGTGTATAAATATTTTGTTTAATCAAGACGAATATTAAAATTTTAATTATGTTACAACCCTGATTTACTTTTTCGAATAAATGAACTGCCCTCAAATAATGACTCTAGGCTTAACCAAAAATATGCCAGTCTCACATTATGCATTACTTGGGTTCTAACATGTAATATTACACGCAAATCCTGCTGATTCGGAATATATATATAGACTACTGGCCATTAAAACTGCTACACAAGGAAGGCGATACACCACGACGAATAAAGAAAGTTGTGGTTTGCAAATGATTAGCTTATCAGCGCATTCGTGCAAAGCAGGCGGTGGGAGCGACACCTACAATGTGTATAAAAGAAGAGATTTGACAGTAAAATTCTCATACAGAAATTGAATTTGAGCGTTGTTCTTGGTTAAAAATGTTTTTGTTATGCCTCGTGTAAGAAGGAGAAATGCCTACCAGCACGTGTCTGAGTTTGATCGAGGTCGAATTGTGGCCTACCGGGATTGCGGTTAATCATACCGAAGTATTGCGAAGTTCGCGTTGGACGAGATCCCATGACTGTTAGCAGAATATGGAATCGATGGGTTTATGACGGCCATATGGAACGCCGTGCAGGATCTCAGCGGCCTCCATCTCTAACAGAAAAGAAGACGGACATGTTATCCACATGGCCTAAAGAGATCGTAAAGCTACGTCACGAACCCTGAGTTAACAAATGAGGTCATTTGCAAGACAACGAGTGTCTGCTCGAACAATTCGAAGAGGTTTGCAGCAGCATGGACTGTTAGCACGGTGAACATCGCTTTGGCTACCCTTGACGCTGCATCACAGGCAGGAACGCCTCCAATGGTGTGATCAATGACGAACCTGGACGCAGGAATGTCATGACGTCGTCTTTTCAGAGGAATCCAGGTTCTGTATACAGCATCAAGGTGGCCGCATCCGTGTTTGGCGACATCATGGAAAACTCCTATTGGCAGCTTGCATTCGACATCGTCATACTGGCCCATCACCTGGAGTAATGATATGGGGTGCCATTGGATACACGTCCCTATCACTTCTTGTTCGCATTGTTGGGCACTTTGAACAGCAGCCGTTACATTTCTGATGTGTTAAGGCCAGTTGCTCTTTCTTATCTTTGAGGCCTCCATAACGCTGCGTTTCAGCCGGACAATGCACGACCGCATGTTGCCCGCACTGTACTGACCTTCATTGACACAGAACATGTTCACCCGTTACCCTTGCCAGTACGTTCTCCAGATCTTTCACCATTTTAAAACGTCTAGTCAATGGTCGCCTAACGACTGGCAAGTCACCACTCGTTATTCGCTACGGTCAATGAATTGTTGCATAATGTTGAAGCTGCATGGAATGCTGTACCCGGCCATGCTATCCAATCTCTGTTCGACTCAATGACCAGGAGAATAACTTCTGTTATTGCTGCCAAGAGAGGCTGCTCAAAGTACTGATTCCTCAGGATATATTCATGCAAATACCCTGAGTATTTAATCACTTGTTCTCCAAACTATAATGTATGTTCCCTTCCCAATAAATATCATTCTGATATTTGCTTTCCCTCCTGGTGTAGCAATTTTAATGNTGTACATATTTATCTGAGAAAATAGTAATTCACAGTTTTCCTGTTATTTAAACTAAGTAACATTAATCGTAAAGTAATGAGCATGCAAATGTTGAGGCAAAACACATTCTTTTGTTTCATAATAATAAGGCAATATCATAAACGCAATCAGTCATTTTACAACAATATTAGCAAGACAGCTCCGTCGGAGGACTAACTATAAGCTGTACTCGGACTAACTATAACCTGCAATGTTATGTCGAGTAATAAGTAAATAAATAAAATAAAAATGGCATTGTAAACAAAAAAGTATATGCTAACTTTGTGAAAGGTGAATCATTTGTGAGGTTATTCTTTGTCTCTCCTGGTGCCATGGTATCATTGCATACATCGTGTGCTCGGCAGCAGAGGTCCGTGTCCCTGTGGATACCGAGATCGTCATAACTCTTGGCGAGATCGCCAGATCCACACCATTTGGTCCCTGTAAGCCATGAAATTTAGAAAATAGCTTATTATATTGATTTCATAATATAGTTCACTAAAGCTATCAATTAAAGGAAACATCGTAAAAGAAAAGAATTATGCTTTATGAAAGTGCATGCTTTAATTCTAAATTGTTTTATTACTTTAGATTTTGTTGCAATTTTGAAGCAATTATGTGGGATCAAAAGTCATATGTGAGCACATAAAAAGTGTTTTAGTGACCATTAAGTGCCAAAGTATAGGTCAATTCAAATGCAGAAAGTCTTTAAAGCAGCTTGCTATTACCATCATTGATTAATGAATTACTTGCATTAGAAAATCTTGTAAAGAAGTAATTGAACCTACCTCTTATCCTATTTAGAGATCACAAAGCGGCTAAAAAAGGCAAAACATAAAACCTTTTCTTATAAAAACTCCAAATGTCATGGAGTTTTTTTCTTCTTTTGTTAATTTATTTTCTTTTGTTTATTTCTTTTCTTTTATTAAGGTTTCCTATTCAATTTAGTGGTGTGCGACCGTAGAATTGGTCGTAGAATGCTCTCAAAGGTAGATTTTTCATTTCTCCCGATGATTATTATCCTACTTGGCCGTACGTAAACCCATACTGGTATTCTCAGTAATCTATTCACTAAATAGAGTAATTTCAAAAATTAAAAAGCATTTTAAAAAATAGCCGCAACCCTTTCCGGCGCAGTGTATCCAGTCTGGCAACACTTACTACTAAAATATTGCAACCCACTAAAAATACGAAATCCCCTGCTACTAAACCTTTTTTGGCAACCACTATTTATTAAACAACATAGAGCTCAAGTATTTCTTTTTTACTTATCATTTAAGAACTACGATCGCACTTTCTAATTTGATGCCGGTCAAAAAATTTCAATCAAAATTTGCCGCATCTGAAAGGTTTTTTTTTTAAAAAAAAAAAAAATTCATACTAAACTCAACTTGAATCATTATGGATTGTACTCACTATTATAGATATTTTAATAATTTTACTGGTTGATGCTGATAAAATTAATCAAACCTTTAGAATTTCCACTTCGGCATCCCTCCTCATCCAAATTTATGAGCGAGTGTTTTGTGTTGCAAACAAGCTACTAATTTTTTTACAGTTTCTCAATACGGTTCCATTACCTGGAAAAATGACTGGCAGCGAGTGTTGTATATCTTCAGAGTTATCCGATTCTGTTGAGTTCTCACTACTGTTGTTCGGATTACGATTCTTGTCTCGTCCCCTTTCCGATTCGATTTTCCTGCTGTTTCTGTTTCTTTTCCAGGCCACGAACCGCTTCACAAGAGAGCCAGTCTCTCGTCTCCTGCGCCTTGAAATCTCTGTGCATTCTTTGATGATTTCTTGCAAATCGTCTTCTGAGGGAGTGCGGATGAGTTCTCCTTTGGAAGCTTTTATGACCTCCTCAATAAGTTGACTAAAAGAGAAGATACAAGTCTTTAATAGACGTACGATTTAATGTTTTTGAGGGAGACTATTTAAAACACTTCACAGTAATATAAAATGTTCATTAACAAAAATAAAATTTATTTATGTAACTAGGAAGTTATATAAATATATTTTGTTTGCATAATATATTGTTGAAATGAAAAGGAGACAACTACATTGGGATATGTCTAGTAAATACTAGATTAATCACATAGATGAGAATGAAGCAATATTTAAAACACACTTGCAGTAAACATTGTTTAATTAATAACACTGAAGAACAAATTTCTTGTTGCATTTATACAAATACTTGATCTCGCTTACTTCGGGTGTGAGGATTTCAAATTAGTTTTACTCCTAAAGCTACAGATTTTTTAAACTAACATTTTTTGCTTATTTTTGATCGAAATGAACACGTTTAAAGAGGTTATACATTACTATGAGTCCCAAAAATATTGCGGTAAACTTCTAGGTGAGGTAGGGTTCATCATCAGGATTAAAACTGAATGGGCCCTCATGCCCTGAAATGTCACAGTACGTCGATAGGGGCACTTCCCAATTTGGAACTGTTAAGAGGTACGTGAAGAAACGGTTCGAAATAGGGAAGTACCTCTAGCGGCGTATGACGACGTAAACGTATATAGATTTTCATACAATTCTAATCCTGATGATGTGCCATTAACTCCCCTAGAAGGTTTTCGCAACATTTTCGTGACCTCCTGTTATATCTTCGCCTCAATGGAAATTTTCTTTTTTTAGTTGTTATGGAAATTCTGTTAATGCAGTACGTATTTCTCCTCAGACGGGAGAGTACAATTCACTAAGGCATGTGCAATGATCCGAAAAAGTTTACTTGTATATTTAATTTATTTTCTAGCAGAATACCCGTTTTTCGTATGGATTGGAAAAAAATAATCAATAAACCGGGGTTGATCAACACTGCGAAAGCATGCCCAAATCTGAAAGACATGCACCAACACAATTAAACTAAAACATCTATCCATTTTTATTTATTATTATTTATTGCCCTACCTGGTGCTTCTGCGTTATTAGATTAAGTAAAACACGTTTATAGAAGTTTATCCCATCAAAATAAAGATTAACTATATTCAGTATCGTTTGGCAGAAAGTCGATGAGAACTATAGTCGATAGTATAATATTACCATAGTCAACAATTTCCTTTAGTATTTATCCTTTTCGTTGGGCCCTTTGAAATTTATTTTCACACTACTTATAGTAGTTATTTTGATATTAATAGTATATTTAGTACATTTTTAAAAGCACCAATTCATTAAAAATATTAATTACCAAAATTAATTGAGCATCATTGGCACCAGTAACACTATGGCAATTTTTTACTGTTATCATAACCAAATAACTACCTTTTCTCCACTAATTTAGCTTTTTAGCGTAAAATTTATATTTTTAAATCCAATTGTAACTATTATCAAAATTTATTACTTGTTATTTTCGAAAATGATAAGTGACGACATAGACATTTTTATAATTATTTTTAGCGAACTGATATCGGTACTTATTCCCGAAGCCATAAAAAATCTCTAAACTATTATTGACATGCATGATGCTTTACTAAATGTGGTAATAAAAATTATGTGTTGTCGTGTTTTAAGTACTGTGATAATTAGAACCTATTATCACAATATAGGTGATCTCCAAAATGGATGAGTGCTCTAATATGTCCATACAACATATATATACATGACCATTGTTTATTTATTAATTTATCTTCATTAATTAATTAATTAATTAATTATTTTTATTATTTGTGTATATTCTGCAGCGTCCTTTGACTTTCAGATTTACCATAATATAAGTTTGAAATTATTCTCGCTAAAAGAAATATTAATTATACACACAGTATCATTTAACCTATGACATTCAGAATTTACCACAATTTTCCATTGCTTAATCGATAACTTAAATTTATTTTATTAGTTCTTGTTGAGTTTCCACTATTGCAGTTTATGGAGACACGCTTTACAAGCCAAAGTATCAATATAAGAAACGCGTGGTTGAAAATACCTTTCGAAATACAAATTCGGGGACATAATAGTGGTATACTATTTTTTCAAACTAAATGTCAATTCTGTCTTGTTTGTTGAAATTAAAGTCTGATTCACAAACTGTTTATTTTGTCATTATTATCATGTTTAAGCGATAAGTATAATCAGTTCTAATCGCAGTCACAAGCAAATACAATAAAGTATTTTAAATACCTAATACATTTATGAGAAATATGTCTAAACTTTAAAAAAGAGATTTTGAGTACATTAATGGTATTTTAATGTTTTTTTTTATCTCATATGAGGCTAATTATTTAACAAATAAAACATCCTGGTATAAAAGCACTTACATTTGAACAACATTTCGTAACGTTATATTATTTGTCTTCCCTATAATTGGAGAAATCGTACCTAGTATTAAATTTTTTCACTCATTTTGCCTCGCTTAAGTTTTATAGTACTTTCCAAAATGTATAATGGTGACCCCAAAGTATTTTTCATTGACTTACAACAAACAAAGTATGTATAATTTTAGGTATTTGTTATGTTATTAATAAATCGCGTTTGATATTATACATTTCATGGTTTATGCGAGTTTAAATTATGCTTCTCTCCCCTCACTTAAAATAACTTTTGTTCAAATGATCAGATTTTTACGAAATAAATGGCAAACTTAACACTTTGACGCAGATGGGACTGTGATGTTCCTTTTATATATATATTTTTTTCTGACACTTTAATTACTAGCAAAAATATATGTTGATATTTTTTAATTATAAAAAGCAATTTAATAGTTGCTAAAAAGATCTGTTACATTATCGGAATTATGTTTCTATTAAAATATAAAATCAAAAAAAGTAGTGAGAAATTTATTTCTTCATTCATATTCAAAAATGTATTAATAATTAATTTAATAAATTAAAAAATTTCAATGATGAATAATTTTTTCTCTTAGTTTAAAATAAATGAAAATAAGTGCAAATTTGAAAAAATTCTTGTTTGACAGTGAGTCCTGTCTGAAAGATTACCTTTAACGCAGAAAAAGAAACCGATGTTTCATGGGGCATTTCACAACCGTAAATTAATAAAATGCTAAATTTAATATTTTTTACTTATTTTGACCTAAATTAACAAAAAATAGTAAAAAAAGTATGAAAAATATGTTTAATAAAAATTCTGCGTCAAAGGGTTAATGGTTCAAAAGGTTGACTTCACATAGGCCAATTAGTTATTGCTAACCATTAATTAAATTACGAAATCAAACATTCAAAACGTTCTTTTTATGAATAAACACGGCTTTTTCAATGAATTCGGATTTCTGTTCCCAAGAAAATGGAGGATAGCCATAAGCTGGAGATTATGGTCCCAATAGTTAGGAGAGCAATCTAAAGTTTAAGTCCTCCAGTGATAATTTCATTTTTTCAGTATTTTGCTATAAATCGAAAAGTTTTTAAATGAGTTTTAAAAAAAACTTCATATAGCTGCAAAATTCCTTTATTCAAATATACTCCATGCAAAAAAAGATTTTAAAGGTTTTTTATTATTATTGTATTTAACAAGGGGTGAAACATTTTCAAATTATAAGTTATGCAAATCTTTTCTTCATTGACGAATTGTGTTATTCATTGTATGACAAAATAAGAAAATTTGAACAAAAAAGGCTAAGGTCCTTTTTTTGTGAAATTGCAAAATTTCTACTCGTAGTTTAATGATTTTCTGAAAATAAGGTCCTTTTTTATGAGAGAAAAAAACAACGAAAACACTAAGACCAGGCTCAAATTCATTCCAGGAATTTGAATTTTAAAGTTATAAATTAAAAGCGCAAAAGAAAAGTTTAGGAAAGAAAAGTTTTGTTTTCAAAAAAGTTGTTCATTTGTTTATAAAAAAAAAGCTTCTGGTTTCACGATAAAATATTTCGCAATGGGTCTGTTTACTCGCGTTTTAGGAAAAATTCATTTTAACTAGAAAAATATTTTGAGAACAATCGGTTAACAGACCCAAATTTTTTCACAGTTGACCCCTTGGGTTTTGATAAGTCACATGGGGACACTTAAATGGTCCCGTGTGACTTATCAAAATGCTTTACATTAAGCAGTATTTTTCTTTTATTTTGCACGAGCAACGTTTTTCATAAAATAATGCACAGCAAAAGTAATTTTTTTTCACATGTTTCTTCATCAAATGCTGATCAATGCCATAAACAAAAATGTGTTCTTCACATTGAAACTTTAGAAGCGTAATAATAAAAATTATGTATGCAAATATAAAAGAATTCAACTAAAAGTAAAAATGATGTTGAGTGAAATAATAAAACTTTTCCTCACGGATTAGTGAACACTTCGCAACCCATGGCATCCTCATTGTCATCATCTTCATATGGCCAGGTGACCACTAGAACTTTTTTGTTGTTTTCAGCATCTGATTTTTGAAAAATAAATATTTTATCCTCTACGATGGAGGACTGAACGAGCAACCAACATGCTCCCAGGATGAAACACGTGACTAGATGTCGCATTGCTGCGTCTTTGGTTCCTGCTTAAATGTACCACCTACAGAGAAAAAGAAATATCCATATGAAATATTTTGTTAATAAATTCTTTGTGGCCATTAGTGCCATACAAATCTATTTATCAAAAAATAAAAAAGTGGTATAAGTGGTGTCACAAGTGCTTATTCTTCGGAATTTATTTTGAAGAAACAAGACAGTTCTGTCTAGCATTATGTCAATATATATATTTAGTGTAAATAAATATCTAAACTAAACTCAGTGGCAAGACAGCCCATAGGGGGCCAGGGCCTACTGTGCCCATCTCAGTTTTCTTGACCTTGGGCTCTGAGGTGCAGGAGCAGATGTTCCGGTCAGGTGGTCAGTGGAACGCGGAACCCCCAGTGTTTAGTTCCCAAGTATGCTTGGTACTCATTTATCGACCCACTGAAGGGATGAAAGGCTGAGTCAACCTTGCCCGTCCCGAGGTTGTTTAGCAAGTAAAATGTCACTAAAATATTTCAGCTTGATTTAAAAATCAGCAAATCATAACAACTTCTTACTGGTCACACAAGATGTTCCGTAATAATTGTCCTCCATGCTTAGTTTTAGTATTCTTCTATAAATGGAGTAAAAGAAATATTCACTGTCGGACGTCGCAAATTATTTAATTGAGAATGAACAGAAACGTTTTCAAACTCATTATGGACGTCAATTTTGGTTCAATTCTAATCTAAAACCAGTTTATTTAAGTTTAAAGTTGAAAAGCGATTCCTGATCAAAAGGAAGAGAAATGCTTGGATAGCCTGGTTGGCAGGACGTTGGACTCGTGTTCATGAGAACGCGAACGAGAGTTCGAATCCCGTCGGACGAAGAATCCCCGCGTATTAAATGATGATTGGTGCGCGTTAATTTTGTCGGGGTCACAAAATCCTCCAAGTTCCCACAACAAATCAATTCCTCTCGGGTAATAAATATATTTCTAATAAATATCTACTTCCATATAATCTGCATCGTTCATGTTTCACTTTTTGTGGCCAGATATCATTGGATTATGAAGAGTGGTCTGCATTAAGCTGGTTTTTGTTTCAATAGTCAATTTGAAGCTCATTTTTCTTGAACGCAAGCAAAAGCTATCTTTTTCCTATTTTCTACAATGCTATAAACTATATTCTGAAATTTTAGACTGCTTAGTTATAAATTTTTTATGTTAAAAAAAAGTTTGAGTTTTGACATTAAAATTAAAAGAAATATTATTTTTTAATTAAAAAAATATTTCGCGTAAAAAATGTGAAAGTAAGCGTAAGAAGAAAAAAAAAAGTTTGCAAATTTAAAAAATCGGTGCTTCTCATCTCAGTTCCCAGAAAGAAAAAAAAACTTTAGGAAAAAAAACGAGCAATGATTTTCAAAATGGTAAGTTTTGCAAAGATTGCAAACTTGGTGCATTAAAATCAAACTTAATTTATTAATCTTAAATTGTTCATTAAGACTAAAATATTTTTTTTAGTAAAATAAACTAACTTTTCAAATTTTAGTTTATTGTGGTTCTCTTAAAATTCAAATCAATATTTTATAAAATACGTCATTATCAAATCAGAAAGGATGTCAAGCATTGCTATATAATTTTTTGAATTCTTTTTACTTAAACTAAAATTCTCGAAGCTTTATCTAACAATTTAATAGATTAGATGCCAATTGAAATTCATTTATCATGGTTCAATAATATCTTCTATTGTTATTTTTTCCTTTAAAATCAATAAATCTCATTAAACTTATCTCTGAATGTGTGCATAATTAATTCTACAATTTAAATATAGAAAAAGTTTTTTAGAAGATTAACTTCTTTTAATCACAATTAAATCATGAATAGCCCTAATTACTTCAACAAATAATTCTGATCTCCTATTTAAAATCTAATGAACAATTTTCAACATATTTGAATTTTAAATGTTCCTAAATATAAGTACCACTAAAGTTAGCCAGAAATATGAAACAAGAACATTATTGATAATCAACCAAAAATAATCAAAAGAATACCAGAAAATCAAGAATTTCACATTAAGTATATGGATATAAATAATCAAAAGAATATCACTGAAACAATACTAGATAAAATCTTAATCATAATTTTCCCCATATTAAATTTTAGACGGTCGATACTAAATATGACGGATTAGTGTTACATAAGTTGGTACTGGATATTAAAAACGAATATTCTTGACTTACCATAGCTTTTACATTCCAACATTTCATGTGCTTTCATTAGTGTGTTCTAAATGCTACTTGTTAAAAATATGGAGTTTTATTAATGAATAATATTGACTTTTACTTGTGAGATTTCACAACATAAGCGTTGTAGTTAAAAGGTTCTACGCCACAGAAAATGTAGACCAACTAATTATTCTCGAGCACAGAATCGTTTAAAGAGGTAATTAAGTTTTTGACGCACCACTGACAAAACAGTATTAAACAGGTCAAGAGGAAAAACTGAAAAACCATCTTAAAACAAAGATTAAGAATGATTTAAGGAGTTAGAATGTCCACGGATATATAAACACGCTGACAATGAACTCCTTGCTTGTTTTATTTTTCTTTCTCTTTACCTTTGTTGCCTTTTTTTTTCTTTTAACATTTGAGAAAGTTTCATCTCTTGCATGATAGGATGTAAAATTTCTTGTCAATTCTTCAAAGGGGAAAAAAAGATGCATGACTGAAAATTTTTGGTCTTGTTTTTAAATATGCATATTATTGATGTTAAACTGAATATTGCACTGAGAAAAAAGTATGAACAAAACTATAAGAAATTGGTAACAGTTAAATTTTTTTTTTGAGTCTATGGGGACATCAATAAGCTAGATAATTTTTACTAAGTGCACTGGTAAATGTAACAACAAAATATGATTTTATGATATTCGATAAAATTTGGTAAACGTGTAAGATTTGGTAATTTCATCATCTTATCTAAGGCATAGAATTTATTTATTCGGTCAAATTTACTTTTCAACGTTTTACAAGTTTTTATATTTTTTATTAAACGCGTGGTTATAAGAACTATAATTTAGAAAATCAGAACTTCTGGTAAACCATTACCACATAAACGGAAAAGATTACCAAATAAATGGTTTAAAAACAGTATATTTTGGCTTATCAACCAGAATTATGATTGTTTTACCATATTTGTCAATACTATACAATACCGTAATTTTACAAGAATTTTTTTTCTCCGTGTGATAATTATAGAATATTAATCAACTGTAAGAAACTATATCTTAAAGCTGAAATATTTTTTTTGGTGTAACTAATTATACAAGGACGTAGGCGTAATTGTTAATTATATATATTTTTGACAACTCCCCCCATGAAATAGTAAAGAACTAGGCATGCAGACAAAACCTAAGAGCAAATTTTCATGATAAAAATTCTAGTGCATTGTTAAGATTCATGCTTTATTATTATTATTCAGCCTAATTATTTGGCCATAAGTTTGCTTAGTTGGATTTTTGTTCTCTACGGATCATATAGTACCAAGGAGTAAGAGAAAGTTTAGTAATTGATTCACAATGTGGACAAATATCATCGGTAATTTTTGATTTTTAACTTTTATTCAATTTAAAAAAATGTCACTGGATATACTTATATATATATATATATATTATCATACACAGCAAAAAATTCCGGATCAAATTGCAATGAAAAGTACTAGCACTCAGGGTGCTGCTTCTGATATGCCGTACCGTTCTGATGAAGTGTAATTCTTACAGTAATAATTACGTTAAATCACTGAATTACTCTAATTAAATAAATATTACTGTAAAAGCTTATGCGGCATGATATTTTGCGGTAAAAATTGATTTTACGGTAAAATGGATTTCATGGTAAAATGGATTTGATTTTACGGATGATACACCCAAAGTGTCGGTACTTTATGCCATAATTTGATCCGGAATTTTTTGCAGTGTATTTAAATCACGTGTGTTAAGATCATCTGCTTAATCAAACGTCTTAATAAAAATTATTTATGAAAGGATTTATAAGATTTTAAATTTTTTAAACTATTTTTAAACTCTTTGTGCAGTAAACAATACCAATCAAGTTTTAATTTTTAGATACATTTTTACTTAATGTCAGTGATTAAGTGACTTTTTCCACACATTTTCAAAAGTTTAAAGCTAAATTTTAAATTTAATTGCTCTTTAATGTCTAATTTTTGTATTGGTGATATTAATTTTTAATCAATCAAAGATATGAAGATGAGATGAATTTTTAATTACTGAAATCTTCTAAAAACTACAACAATTTTAGACATAGAAGAAAGAGGGAACTTGACTTAAAGCACAACTAATTTTATTTTTAAAAAAAGGACAGATGATCGTTTCGGTATTTTGAGAAAAATTTTATCTTCAGTGTCTCGATATTAGGGATAACTAGTGGGCTGCGCCCCCTGCTTGCTAACGCTCGCCAACCCCCGAAAATTGCTACGCTATCTTATGTGGTTTGCTTCGCAAACCAAGCTCGCTTCGCTCGCTACTAACTTTGGTACATTGCAAATGCACAAAATTCTAAGAATTAAAAACAATCATTCAAATCCATATAACAATTTTTTATTAAAAAAAAAATTACACCTTTTTAGTAAATACTAAGTCATTTAAATAAATTTGAATTCAAATAAATGACTTGTAATTCGTTAAACCTATTAGAAATGTGCTATAGTATAAAATCTTAAGATAAAATTTCTAAAACTGACATCTCTTTAAAAGGGTTACAATTTTGGCTATAATTAAGTCTATTAAAAATTGAAATAAGTGAATTGCAATGAAAAAACCTGCATAAACAAATAAATTCTAGTAAAGCAAATAAATTCGTAATATAAATCAAAAATCGTCAAATAAATTCGT